CAGGCTTTGGCGTACCACGCATGGATTGAGAATCATTTAGGGATAAATCGTCGCGCGAGGAGAGCACGGAGAGGGACATCGACATCGATATCGACATCGACAACGAGTGCTTCCCGAACGTTTCCAATGACGCCTCTCCCGAAGGCTTCTGGTCACTCCCTCCAATAAGATGGAAATAGTTGATCAAAGAAGCGTATAGGTTGCCACGGACCAACTCAGAACGGTTGTTGTCCAGGATACAATCAAGGATGCTGCGAAGAAGCGCATACAGTCTCTCTGCAGGCAAAGAGCCTGCGTCAGTGTCTCCGCCGGCGGATTGTAGCATAACTTGATGACGTCGATCTTCGCGTAGCTTCGTGATGCAGGACAGTACTGCTTCCGAAAGCAGAACTGCGGTAGGCTCCTGGATGTCAGAGGAACGGATTGCAGTAGGCAGAACGTGTAATAAGTCGAAAAGCATGTTTTCGCGCCTGTCGTGCGGCAGGCGCTGAAAGCACTTGGTAAGGGTGATGTCCAATAGCCTCCACCACGCTTCATATCCGGTAGCAACAGCAAAAGCGACCTCGCGGCGATGGTTCTCGATCGCACAGCTCTCCAAGACGTACGAGGTCTCAGCGTTCAATTTGTCAGCCTGCGCGCCATTGGTGATTCGGCCTTGGGCGTGGAGGGAACGTCGAGCGAGTGTCAACAGGGATAACAGCGCAGATCTATCAACGACTTCGCACCCGGTGCCATCCACACGGATGCAGGACTGGAGGTTCAACTGACCAAGGAGCTCCAGGTCAACAGGATGAACGGTTAAACTTTCTGACCAATCAAAGCTGAGCGACTGCACGGACTCAATGATCCGAAGATGCGACTGGCCCATTTCCTGAAACGGCTGCAAAGCATCTACATCCCATTCAAGCACATCCTCAGCAGCCGTCGCCTCCGAGCCGAATATGATTTGCAAAACCTCTAAAACGCCCTTGTGGTGGCTTTTGCGGGTCAGGACGTGGAGATCAAGCGATGCTAAATCCAGGATGCGAGAGCGTACGCCCATGAACGACCGCAGAGCTGATACGCTGGTGATAACGCGAGAACCGTCATGATACAGTACCTCGATGACAGGCTCTTCAAGCGTTTCCGGGGCTTTGGAGGGTATAGCTGCGAGATGGCGGGCGAAGAAGTCGTCTCGTGTGCGGAGGTACCGCATGGTGGACTCTGATGTCCGTGGATGCACACAGAGCTGATGAATGACCTGGTAGCAGCGTTCTGCCAAAGCAGGGATAGAAATGAACAATGGATCGACTTGACGCGCAAGTCGACGTTCACGTTCTTTGCCTTTGCCGTGCACTCTGGGTACGCCAGCGTTGACAAGGTCAAAGATGACATGGGCACATGTTCTGTGCACACCCAACGCGTGTGGATCTTGGATTTGATGCTCGTTTTCTGGACCACCGAACAACAGGAAATGGCCGATGGTAGGATATTGTCGGTTTGGTCGCGTATTCTGGATCAGCAATTCAAGGATGGCAAGTCGTATCGCTTGATCGAGTGGTTCTTGCGTTTCTCTATCAGGAGCACCAGCACCGGTCACCTGTTCAGCCTGCGTTTCACTGGCATCCACATCGCTAAATGACTCGACACTGAGCAGCTGCTTGAAGCCACTGAGGATACGATCCGAGTCATTGCTGCGCTCGATGAGGGTAGTTAGGTTGCTGACCGACGACGACAGTTGCGTGACAATCTTGATGGCGAGAAGGACAAGCTCTGGGTATGAAGGGTACACCACATATGCAGCAATGGCAGGAATATGCTGTGTGCCATACGACAACGCTTGATCAAAACGCGTATAGTATGACCGAGCATGAGCGACGCCCACAAACTGCGAGCCATCAAACTCGGTGAGGAGCGGCACGAGAACGTCAAGGAAGATATCCTGGATGTCCAGAACGCGGTGAACGATCCGCAAAACGCGCACGATCGTATTCTTGAAGTGCGGTTCTTCATCTGCAAAACCTTTCTCGAAGCCTTCTACGCCATCAACGATGTACGTCAAGATACTGGTTTGCAACAGTGAGTTTGTCAGGAGACGCTGCATTATATCATATCCTGGATGGACAAGGAGGGGAACAATAGCCTCTCGCTTCAAGACGACATCGTCACTTGACGAGACCAATAATTCTAGATCGTAGCTAGCGAGGACTCGCTCGACGAAGGATAAGCACAAGTCATTCATCTGCCACCTATCTGAAGGTCGCCTGTACTCTCTCCGGGGAATATTGGTGAAGACATTGTCAATGACGAAGGATATGTAAGGTGCAATTCCAGGAAGACGGTATGGTTGACCAAGGGCATCAGGGATGGTATTCAGTGGCTCCGAATCCGTGATGAGGTCCTTCAAAGAAAGTCGTTTGGGAGTGTGGATGAGGGTGCTGAGGAGATTGAGGAATGGGATAGTGGCAGGATAAAGCTTATGGATAGCTTCAACCTCATCCAACTCCACCTCAACGCCCTTGACGGGATGCAACACTCCGCCAATGCGGGAGGAATTTGCACGGACATTGATGACCTCCAGCCGCTCCATCAGCGTCCATACCGATCTGCATATCTCCACTCCAGAAACACCCCCTCCAGGTTCACAAAAAGCTGCCAGGGCATCAAAAATTGCTCCCTTCAGCTCCAAGGGTATCCCAAGAGGTATCAGTGAGATCAGCGTGGGAATAGCCCTGAAGTGCGCGTTTCCAGAGACCGCGAGGCGGACAGCGACCGAGCACGAAACCACCGTAGATAGAAGGCGGAGGAATGATTGGGCAAGCAAAACATCATTAGGTCCTATGACAACCTGTTTTTGCTGCTGCCGTTGTTGGGAGGCAGCTTGAGACTCGGCGAAATGAGATGACCTGAAGCCACTGAACGATGTCCCCAAGTTCTGCTGCGGAGGTGGGTGGGGCTTGGGGCTGGTAGAGGAAACTGCCCAGGATTCTAGCAGAGCGAATATAAGCGTCCAGGACACAGCCGAACCAGCACTATAGTGAGATGAGCTGGCAGCGAGGCTGCTTCCAGGTACGACTTCTACACCCCCTCTAGCAAGGAAATTATATGCGAGCTCGCTACATTGTTGGCCTTTTGCTAAACCAGACAACATGTCGTATAGTGCAGTGGTCATAATGACATCACGAGTCTGTGTGGACCATACTGCCCACTGAAGGAAAGAAGGAAGCCTGCCTGCATTGGTCTCCGCGGTCTCCAGGTAGGTGAGACGATGGGTTTCGGTGAGTGGTGCAGCCCCCCAGAACTGCAGAGCTCGTTCGGGAGGAAGTATGGAGTATAGAAAACCTATGAACGAGTACAGCATGGCGATGTCGTTGCGTGGATTTGCTTGAGAATCCGAGTCTTGCCCGGAATGTGTCATTGACCGGAATAAACGTGCACTGGCGAGAACGATATCCTCTTGACGTTGTTTGATTTTGCGTAACTCTGAGGATGCGTATGTAATCACCGAGCGCACCAGGGCTTCACAAGCATTCAGAACGGCTAGCTTAAAGTCTTCATGAGGCGGTTCTCTTAGCTGCTCCTGCTCGGGCGTAAGCTCAATGAAGGCAGCGAATGACGTCGCTGGTGAGCTTCTTGACAACTGGATAAGCGCTGCGGTGAGATACGTAAAGGCATCGCCCTGGACCGCATTCCAAATCTGAGTCTCCAGCTCTGTAGTCTTGAAACCTTCTCTGTCCTCCAGAGAGGGGTCGCGATGACGAGTCTCGGTCAATAGGAGAGTCCACTTTAGCAATACAGTTGCTTTTAAACCTGTATCCTTCCACTCCGTATTGCGGGAGAGCTTCTGCTTCATATATGTTATCATTGCGTCGTCCGTGGCCAGGTGTTGGCGATTCTTGCCACCAGTGGACGAGGGGTCCATCAAATCAAAGGCAGCCAGAACAGCGGTCAACACATAGAATGTCATGGCGTCGTTGGGATTGACAGATAACCAATCAAGGGAAGTGCGGATGTCAGAGACCGTGAGACATCCAAGACGGGCAATCTGGAAGAAGACAGTGGCAAGGTATCGTCTCTCGTATTTGAGCGAGTCACAACGTGCACTGAGGATATCGTAGCCCAGAGTGGGTGAACCACCTTCAATAGTGGTCTATTAGAGATCAACCTCACGACGAGGCAGAACTTACCAGAAGGGGCCACAGTATTGCTCACGGCACCTTGTTTTGCTTGTTGCGCTCGTGCAACTGTGTTCCCCAACTTCTCCAACTTCTTGAATATTCGTAATGCCAACGATATCTCTCCCCCTGGTCCCTTCGTAGGTGGGACGAGATCCTGCCTAGCGAAAGCATCCAGCCGTTTGTAAAGTCGCGGTGCATCTGGTAACTCAGCCAACTCTGCAGCCTCAAAGATGTAACGCAGACAGTCGACCAGATGACGTCGTCTTTGATGCAATTCAACGACCGTAGCTTCCATGCAACCGACTGGGCCGATATTTGGGTTTTCGGTCATGACAGAATGCAGTATGCTCGCGATGTATTTCTCGGAGGACTTGAGCTGCTGAGCAAGGAATATTGCCTGCTGAGCAAAATCCGCATTGACAGCGAATGACCTGCCATTGATCGTGATCCTTCCTGTAGACTCATTATCGAATTTTACGCGTCGATACAGATGTAAGGCACTCACCACTTCGCAGCTCTTGTTGTTCCTGCTGACTGCTCTGTCCAACCTCAAACAGCTCAATTAGCCTCTGCTTGTGCATCATGAGTTCATCAAAAAGTTCTTGTTCTCCATGTCCACGAGAGCTGAGATTTGTCAGAAGCACGCTTCTGAGTCGCGATATGGACTCCATAGCGTAGATCAAGTTGTTTTAGACAAGTGTTTCGTTTGCAATTTGGATGTTGTATAAGCGTGGGAATGTTAAAGGTCCACCGGGGACCGCGCCATGGACTTGGCAATTTCGGTCGCGTGCTCGCCTCGAGGATAAGTCGTGTTTCCGCTCTTGCTCCTGACCATTATTGACGATGACTGAAATATTGTACAGACAGTATGTAGGCGAATCTGATTTACCACACATTATGGCGCTCGTACAGAGTGAGCTCAGTGAGCCGTATGTCATATACACATATCGTTATTTCCTCCATCAATGGTAAGTCTCGTTATCATTTATTTCACTTGGCGAATTCGAATCACTAACTTATGCCGACTATGTACAGGCCACAACTTTCTTTTCTCGTGCGTGTTACGACCTCCTTCTATCACCTGAAATGAATCAGACGTGTCCCCTTTCAGGCAATACCTGCGGGATCGTCGGAGCCGATAGGTGTCATAGTCTGCAAGCAGAGTATGCACAAGCATGCCTCGAATAGAGGCTATATCGCCATGCTCAGCGTTAGCAAGAGCTGGCGCAAACGTGGTGTAGGTACGCGATAACCACGTGCGCTCCCACCCAATCATCTGTATTTACCCACCGATCCCAGCAAGCACGTTGGTCAGACGATCAGTGGAGGTCATGAGACGAAATGGAGTTGATGAAGTGCGTAATTCATATCTAGATTTCGGACTTCTGCTAATGCCCCAACTAGGTCGTTCTTGAAACCGAATATGATAATGCGCCGGCTCTTTCCCTCTACGAGTCCTTGGGATTCATTCGCGAGAAACGGCTGTATCGATTCTACCTCAATGGAAAGGATGCGTTCCGTTTGGTTCTCGCCGTCCCTCCATCAGAATTGGATCAAGAATTTCCCCACTACATGAAGCTTTCCCCCACCCACAATATTTTCTCCTATCCAGTTTCTTCAGACGATGACGAGGTCTCATATCGTTGATGATTCCCAGTCACACGACCAATATCATTTCCCCCTTGATGGTGCTGACCCTAACATCCTAATCTGGCTTTCGATAGCCATAATGGCCCTTCAACTAGCTGTACAACAACACCACCGTCTCAGTTGTATAACCCTGTTCGATCTAGGTTTAACCAACCATTCATTTCCTGTTTCTCATCGTGTCAAGGCACTAGTATACCCCACATACATGTGTAGTGATATTTGTAGTAATATTTTGATGTAGTCCATGATTCACAGGTGGAGCTCCTGGTTCCTGCTCGCTCTGTGCAAGATGGTGAGTGACCATCATGGGCCATGGCAAAGTCGACCTTGCAGGAAGGCGAAACTCCCAGCCACTCCACGATAAAGATATCCTACGATTATATAATGGACGTGTATTGCTTCCGTTGGCCGCGGCCGTCACGGTTCTAGGTCGCTTCCTGGGAATCGGATCCAGGTACTCAGGTCACTTACTAGAAAGTTTGTGTCCCAAATCGTCGTGTTGCGTTCCGGAGGCAGATCTCACGCAATTGCTATCAACTGATATAAGTGCCCCAGTGCCCTTCGTTCACTGTGGTTCAACATGGTCTTCTCCCCAGCTGGCGTTGCCTCTGCGTTGCTATTCGTAGCCCCGTACACGCCAAACATTGCTACCATTGAAACCACACCAGGTTGTTTAACGGACAACTTCTATGGAACATACGGAGGACGGAGCATTTTTCATATCCCACCTACTTGCCTCGAAACCAGCTTTATCAAAGGCTCATCGATACAATCGGTCTCTCTGCTTCCGTATGTCGCCAACGGTGAACGTCAACTTGTATGGCTACAAGAGTCGGCTATCGACAGTACTCTGGTAACTCCAGAGTACGAGGCGGAGGTTCAAGATTTCTTTAGGTGGTTAGGAGAAGATGGTTACTCCATGGGGGGCGGACAACAGTTGTCCGGTCATCAGCATTTACTGTCTTCTGCAGACGAGCCTGGAGTAGAGCTGCACTTGGTAAATTTGCAGCAAGCGGGAGGATCCCATGGACTCATAGCCGTCGAACCGAGTCTAGTGCCCAGCATTGAGGCATTGCTCCCTCGCTACTGGAAGCCATACATTCTACCAAAGCAACCCACGTCGTATATCCCAGTCCCCAAACCTGCTATCGAGCATGTCAAGAACCTCCTCGAGACCGTTCGCTTCGACCCAGTCGTATCGTCACTCGTAAACAATATTTCATTGAGTCAGATGCGTGACGACATCAGATGGCTCACGGGTGAGGATGGAAAGTCCGGAATTGTCTCCCGCCACTCGTTTGCAGAGGGTTCTCGCGTCGCTGCTAATTGGCTCAAGGAACGTTTTGAGGAGACAGGCGCAAGTTGCGAACTGAAGACTTTCCTGACGGGATTCGCACCGAACGTGGCCTGGTAAGTAAGGTCTACTCGTTCTTGTAGTAATTGCTTAGCCAATCCATCAGCAAATACTCTGCGTCGGTAGACACAACGTCCACTGTCCTCATTTCTGGGCATTACGATTCGCGTGGTTCCTTTGGTTCACAGAGGGTAATGTCTCTATCCGCTATCACCGTCTTGGTGTCCTGAATATTTACCAGGCTCCTGGAGGAAACGATGACGGCTCGGGCACCGTTGCCCTTCTCGGAATTGCACATGTTATTGCCCACTCCAGTCTCACTTTCCGCAGTAACGTAGAACTCGTTGCTTTCGCAGGTGAGGAGCAGGGCCTGTACGGTTCAAAGGCTTACGCGCGTGAGTCAATACTTGTTAGCGTGCTCCAAATATCTGACCACTCCATGCAGGCGAGATGCGCGAGAAGGATGCAAATATCACATTAATGATCCAGGCTGATATGCTTGGGTACCACGCCCCTGGCGAACCTCCTCAACTTGGACTTCCGATGTAGTGCGTCTTCTAATACCTAATCTACCAATTCGGACATAAACGACCTCTTCCATTCCACAGCATCGGTACTCCAGAAGTAGCTCAACTTGTCTCAAGGATGTCAGCCATTTACAGCCCTGAGCTCACTGTGGGCTACACTGCTGCATGTTGCAGTGACCACCAGGTCAGTTATATCATTTAGTGCATGCGCAAACGCAAGCCAACCTGTGTTGCTTTTACTTTCTCTAGTCCTTCCATGAGCAAGGATACGCCTCGACGCAAGTGTTCGAGCGTGCTGGTCCAAGTAAGCCCTAAACGCACATACTCTTCAACGTGCTAAGTTGCATTTACTTAGTTGCGGATCCCATGTATCACAACAGCGGTCAGTTTCTCGTGCCTTCCCCATCCTTGCCACCCCAGGGCTGACATTCCTGCAGGTGATCTCAGCGAACGTCCTGGCTATGACCTCAGCCAAATTCGCTCGATTGCGAAAGTTCAGGTTTGTCTGTTTATTCAGCACGGTCTCGTTCTTATCTTGATGAATTTGCACAGTTTGCTACCCTGCTTCACGCCGCAGGATTCGATCTTCCCGACGATGAAGATTTGAATTGATGTACATCCCTGTTATGCATAACACAGAGAGTATGTAATATCTTCATGTATATCCCTTCAGACAAGGAAAACAAACATTTTTAAAATGTTTAGTGGCGTTTGAACCAGGGTTGTTAAGCTCTACGTGCTTGGACAAGTAAATTGTCGGCTTGAAGATGACATCCTGGTGGAGGAGGGCCCTCTCTACTTTTCTCTGTACTGATCTAATTACTTCCCGGATGTCTCCACGGCAGCGTGACTTTGCTTATCTTCCCAAAGTTATCCTTATCAATGCTCCATCCCAATTCTCCTCCTAGTACTTCAGAATCATGCATACCCTGCACTAATATTATAACCCCTCTTGTAGCCAACCCCCCAGTTTTTTCACATGATAACCGCTGATATCGTCGGCTTGTGTTATCTGTATGGGGCGGCTCCCCATCGAATCTTACATGCCTAAAGTTCCTTCCTCGCCTGTGTTCCTTTCCCTTCCCTTTATTGGCAGAGTGCGTTTTTCTTCGCTGTGCTGCATGCCTCATCGTTTACCGTGATCGCTTTGCTGACTCTGTACGTTACCTTAGCGATAATCCTGCGTGGGTCTTCTTTCCCGAAGACCCAGAGGCTTGAAGCTCGGTCCTTGAAATACGGAGAGGTGTTGAGATATGCATCCATTGAGTCGAGATGGACAGAAGTATTGTCAAAGGAGCAAACAAAGTCTTGTTAGATCATCCAACAAGGCCTTACTTGCTCCTTTATCAAATGTCTGTTGCCCTCTGTATCCTGTCTGTGCGTCATCTCGAACTACATTGAAATTTTGTATGGAGATGTTGTCGCGGCTGCTCTCTGCCGACTGTATAACAAACTTCTTTGCTAATCAGACCCTATACCAAACCAAAACCCTGACTCACCATGAACCAGACCAATCCGACCGACTCTTGGGTATACTAGATGGGATCGAGGTCCATGACTCGGAGGCTGCCACTGACCAGGCTACCAAGGGCCTCTTCACGAAATCCGCCACCAAGGTGACGGTGACCAAAGGACCGATGGACCGGCAGGACAAAGCTGCATTTAGTGAGACCACAATTCGTACGGAACTATGCTTTAAGTATTGCTTGAACCTCCACAGCTTTTGCTTGCTTCAGAACACACGGTGTGATGAACAGCTAGATAACTGCTGTCCTAAAAGCAGATCGTTGTGGACGCGTAGTCGTTGGTACCCATCCGATAGTACATGAAGTCCTAGCGTTGCTGTGATGTGAGTGCTATGTGCGACGAATGGAATGTGGATGTTCGTGCCATCGGATGCGTCCTTTGGTGACAGTGCAGACGTAATCTGCATTTTTCTATATACGCTTATGTAATGAAGCTTTTGCTCAACAACCTCAAATATACGGACTCGTCCTTTCAACTTTAGCAAGAGAAAAGGTTCGTTTGTAAGTAACTATGAGCTTCCCACTGGTCGCTCCAATGTTTCCTGCAGGGAGGGAACCCCTTCCTCCAGGAATGACAGAGGAGGACCGTGCTCAGTTACTCGAGGCCAAAAAGTACCAAGGATGGATGACCATGGGCATGGAGTCTTGTGCAGCAAAGACGGTCATTGCTGGTGTCGGCGGTAAGTACATCATATTCGAAGGCGCCCAAGTCATAACCCAAAATTCATGACCAGGATAATTCTGCAGGTCTCGGCATTGGCGCATTTTTCTCTCTCATGTCCTCATCGTTTGCGTACGAGGATCCTTTGCTACGGCAATCCACTCAAGCTGGCCTGAATAACACTCAGAAGGCCCGTGAAATTTTCAAGGAAATGGGTAGAGGGATGTGGAAAAGCGGAAAGGGCTTCGGAAAAGTTGGAGCATTGTTCGCCGGAATAGAATGTGTAATTGAAGGCGTGAGTTTCGTTTAGTTGTTTCCCTTGACCTAATCTCACGCCTTCACCAGTACCGAGCGAAGAATGACATGGTAAACCCGATTGCTGCAGGCTTCGTTGCCGGAGGTGTTCTTGCGCGAAATTCGGGACCTAAAGCTGCTCTTGGTGGTGGATTGGCATTTGCTGCATTTTCCGCAGCCATAGATTTGTTTTTACGGAGGGAACCGTCAGAGTAAGTGTGCACTGTTATGCACCTGTCTTCAATAAAAATATTGACATTCTTCTAGCGACGACTGAGTCGTCATACATATTATGACATTAGATCATTTATTCCTTACTTTTGGAATTAATATTAATATGCGATTCATGTCTTTGCCATTGCAACATCTTTCATAGCAAGATCCTCAAGAGCGCATTGTCCGGTCATAAGCACAACACTCGCGACAAATGCGACCACAAGTTCAACACATCCTGCCACATCATCAACATGTCCATCAAACACACCCTCAAGGGAGGGTTTCTGACGGTGTCCAACATGCATGCCTATTCCCACTGCTTCTGGACTTTGAAGTCATTCTCGTATCAGCCTTACCCACCTCAGCAACCGCTTCTATGTTGCGCTCCCACCACCGGCATCCGCACCCCCAATGTGTAGAGCTAGGTTGCGCACAAAATTTATGCACATGCCTTCTATTTCAGCCCCGGTTAGTCCCAATTACCCTCAGCAACCTCTTTCAACCACCCGCATACGCTTACGTCGTAAACGGTCTATCGAACTAGATCACCGCCACTCGTGCCTTTCAATCTTCACCCCAAGTCACACACCGCGATATCACGTTCTACTGTATCTGCAGATCTGACTATTGCAGAGACGAACGAAGGACGAGGTTACGTTAATACTGTATTTCACAAGTTGCTAACAATATATCGCCGAAGAGAAGGAATGTCCTTGTATATCATATACAGAGTACACCCTGGACTTGCGTAAACACAGGTCCATGCACTGACTGGACCTAATTCCCTCCTGAATCAGTCGTCATAGAATTTCACCCATGGTGCGCTCCATTGCATATTCGGTCTCTTATGATTTTTAGACACCGTACGTGACGCACCACAAGATCTACCGACGAGTCTGATTATTGAAAAGTAATGGCAGTTGCGGGTGGACTGTGTTCCTCTCAATAATCGAAGGATGGAAGTTCTCCTGTGTCAGGAGTCAAGACAGTAGAAAGAATGATTAAAGCGTGTGTAAATGTCGAACTTGACTGATTCGTGAATGCTTCTCTGATTTTCATGTGCAGGGGACTCTATTTAGTATGAGGTCTCAGTGCTCAGCGCTGATCGATGATCGATGATCTCCCAGTATCCAGTTTAGTGTCAGTATACGTGAGACTCCTGAATCCACTTCCAGGGATCGCCGGTCGTGACCTGTCACAGGCTGTATGCAATAATGGGTGGGAATTACACATCATCAGCATTTCCTAATCTTCTGCCTCGAGAGATCGTCGAGGATAGAGCAAATCAAACCCGAGGTCTGCTGGCAATGCAAATGACATCTGTCTGAAGGAGTATTTCGGGTACACAGAAGATTACCCAGGATATAAAAGCAAGCTGTCTTCCTACCGTCCCCTTCAGCTTTGTTTTTGAAGTCTCATATCACATCTCACAGATAATGCGTCTCCCCTTCATCCTCGCCGTTGCTGCTGCTTTCAAATTGGCAGTGTCCACGCCAGTGGTCAGTGATGACTGTCCCGTCTGGTGCACCTTTGATACTTGCTGCTCTGACTCTACATGCGAGCCAATAATATCTGTCTTTTGGGTGAGTATGAGTAGTTTGAAAATACCTCAGTGGCTTACCGGCGTGGTAGCTCTTATGGATGTGTGTCCCGTCTGACTCACTGAGCTACAGTGAGTTGTGTTTCCGTTCTCGCCTTTGTGCAGTGTGGTTGACAAGTCACAAGACGACTCGGACACGTGAGTAGTTCGTCGCTGAGTGCTCAGTTGTCACGGTGAACGAATTTCACCCTGTTCAAGCATTAAGAAGACATCAAATTAGAGGAACATCTCGTGCATACTATGTAGACGGCAGAAACTTTGAGACTTGAAGGACGAAAATCAAACTTTGCGTGTGACAAAACCCTTCTCTCACTAAGGGGATATATCTTTAGAACTGGGGTGCTTTTGACGGCGGCACGCAAAGACTTTGAAAATACAAATCTACATGAAAGTGTCTTTCGATCCACACGCTCGACCCCCTCTTCAGGGGTTAGCTGAGATCGTGCACATGTGTTGCATAATATTTCCTTATGTAACCAGCGAGTGTTTCAAATCGTGATTTTGATAATGATCTGAGCCTTCATTGCGCCGTGCGGTTGACATATTTAAATATTAGATATTCGAGTTACTGTTTTTAAAGTCCGAACTTATGTCGCTACTAGATTTATCGCGCGCGACGTCTCACCGAGTTTTTTTTTTCTGCAAGAAGCAACTACGTATAAGTCTAGAAACTCCCAAACGATTGGTGTTCTCAGCCCGGCCACCACATGACAGAAACTGCGACTTCTTGACAAGTAAGAAAGAACTCGCATACTGAAATCTTATCGTCACCTGCTGATCCCATCAGGGAGAATAATGGGTCCAAATCTCAGGCGGTATTGGCATCATCCACCATGATCATGGGTTACATAGATCCGATGGTCCCGGGGGGTTGTACATCTGTCATCTGCCAGCTATCAATGTTTCAATGCAAAACACTGCCCTCGGGGCGCAGGCCTCAGGCCCTGTCACATCATACATGCACTATTTGAAAGGCTAGCGGCGTTACACTGGTATCGACACGGCCTTCTTTTGTAAGCAGCGGCTTAGTTCATTGATTACGAGCACATATGGACCATATGACAACCCGATAAGTCTAGCTTGGACAGATACAGCTTCATCGCTGCCGCAATTGATAAGTTAGGCCTTAGAACGCTGAACAAAATAGTATCCACATGTTCTGGGGTCTTTGTGTTGAGTTCTACTATTAGTAGAACTATAATACACATGGAATTGACGAAAGTGCAAGGCCCTTGCACTACCCCAAGCCATTAATATTCCCGAGCGTCATTCTTGCCATGGCCTTTGTCTCGCTCGATACAGCTGCTATAATATCGACATCACTGGAAGGCATTCTATATGGTGAGTATCTCAATCAGTTCGTTCATCTGGTAACCACAAAGCTCGTAATCTTCAGGCCTTTCGGTCCTTATGTTTATTGGCACCATGTGGGCAATGACCTACAAACATTCCATGCGAGATGTCAATCGCCCAGTCGCTGCTGCATCCATCCTACTGTTGATATTGAGTACCGCAGTGAGCCCCTCGCCTCTGTCATTAAATGTCACTCACTGAAACATTTCTTTAAGCACATAATTTTGGGCATTATGCGGATAGAATACGGACTGGTGACCTATCGCGACACGTTCCCAGGCGGGCCAGCGGGGTACTTTGCAGATGTTTCTCAAGAAACGTATGTGATCAAGAATTCAATATACGTTCTGCAAACTCTGCTTGGTGATGGGATGGCAGTAAGTTCAACTTTTGTTTTGCGAGTTTAAAATTCCTATAGAGATGTCTTGGTGACAGATTTATCGTTGTTACGTCGTTTGGCAAGCTCCCTGGGTCATCATCCTACCAATCATGCTGTGGTGTGGTATCGCAGGTTGGGTTACATTGATTCAGGGAACCGCATGCTCTAACATTGCCTTGAAGTCACTGGTGCTCTTTCGGTCTACGGTGATTCACAAACCAGTAGTACTGGAATCATCTCCGCCGTAGTGGATATGGAGTGCATGGGAGCATTCTGTGCCTTGACACTTGCAGCAAATTTGTCGAGTTCGGGTAAGCTCGCTTCTGCCCGACCGTGATGTTATATTCTCATGCTATCTTTCCAGGATTACTCGCGTATCGCATCTGGAAAATCGAGCGCAGTGTTTCTACCTCGCGCACTGCAAAGGTCATGACCACGAGTATAACGCGCGTAATAATGGATGCTGCTATGTTGTACAGCGTAGCGCTCCTCTCTACAGTAATTGGATCCCTCTGCTCGGGCAGTGGGCCGTTTGTTCTGGTAGACGTGGTGATTACACTGACAACATATGTTATAAAAAATGACTGATTTTCGATCATCTAGCTCACGCCAATCATCTCGATTACCTTTTACATGGTGATCATTCGAATCGCAATTGGTAAAAACACTCACAGTCAGATCTTGACTGTCCGTGCGGGAATGACCAGTGACACGGAACGAGGGAGCTTTCCACGATATTCTATGAAGCCTCTGCAGGTCCAGGTATCCCACTCCACGCATATCGATGGTGCCCCGGTGTACGGAATTTTGGACCAGAGCAGACTACCGATACGCAAGGAGTCTTTGGATGGAGCATATGACGATACATTATCAGGCTAAACTTAATCACTGTTTCACAGAAATTGCTTTGATAGTATTGGACGATAGTATTTGGTCGGTCCGAGGTGCGTGATAACGAAGAAGAATCACTAATAAATGTAATACATGACTCGAACAAGACTTTGTATAATCACTGTACGACCTTCATATCCATGCACAATTGAACAATGGTAGTGCTAGCAGTGTAGATTGATGATTGCCATCAGTGAATTCGGATAAAGAGCCAGAAACGATTCCAGCACCTATAATTGTTACATGGAGACGCAACGTTGTAGCTGCGGAAGTAGCAGCAACGGGAGGTGGTGGATGATGTGAAAGCAGTGATATATGGGTGCGAAAAAGAGTGGGCCTGGGCCGCTCCGATGGATTGCTGCGTGATACTGGACTTGGCAGGCCGTGAGCTGCCTACGGTAATTACTAGTAGTCCGAGTCGTCGAAGTCAGCAGATTCTTCTTCCATTTTTCTCTCGCTGAAGTATTTTTCAGTATGGAATCAGGTGGAATCAATAACCGGAGAACCATGAAAAAACATGCGTAATTTCCCTGTGCATACGGGACGTCGATTGCCATCATGATTGGGTGTTCCTGCAAGTTGATCTTAGTCATATTGAGATGATTGTGTATGTATCACGTACATCAAGTAAGACCTTGTTGTTGTCCTGATAGGTTCACATATCTAACACAAGCCAATTAATTAATCAGTAAGGTCATGGCGTCATGGTATCATGATAAAAGGCAAGTACTGATTCTAGCTCAACCTGGCATCTACTTCACCGTCAATGTCGTAAAGCTTTGCTACACACAACACTTGCTATGCATATCGAACACTGACCTGCCACGCTTTGTATAACAAAACGTCCTTCGGTATGAAGAGTGGCTGTAATGTGGAGTTCGACTGACATCTCCGAGAGAGCACCGGTGAATATTGTGGGTAGGAAGATGGTGTATAGATCTCAGGAGTAAAGTTCCAGATTGCCTTGAAGGCATCACCTTCCCCCTACGCTTGATCACCATAGCAATATGCCAGGTCAAATCGCAAAAACTCTACTTAATGAATAATTAATAAAGTCCTCAAATTCAAACTCAAAGATCGCGTCATTGATGGGTGGGTCCTTTGCTCTATTATTATATAACACAAAAATATTATTATCATCCGCTGTGCTGGACAAGCACATTAATACCAAGAGGTCTAGTAAGACCAACACTGACTCGGAGTAGCCGGACAGAAAAGGGGGGTCATATGATACGCGTGGTCTAACCCAGGAGACTCATATCACGTATGGAATCAAGGCAGATGGACGACACGCGACCTACTGATCACCAATCGGGAGGGACCCAGATGGACGACACTGACAAGTTACCCGGCGGTTCAATGCCCATAGAAGAGGCCTAGCCTTACCCACGAGTGTTGCAGTTGATGCATATGGTACATTCACCCTGGTCAATCTTTCGGTCCATGTTTGCTATGTAGTGCAGCAGTATGCCGGAGACTACAATATTGGATCGCGTCAAGCCATGGCATCATTGCAAGACATAACTTCCGTTGATACATGGATGTCGGTGCCGTAAAAATACTATAGGTCCGTGTCATCTCCGTTGCACAAAATGAGCCAGTTTATTCAAATGCTCACTCGTGAGCATTGCGTTTGATAGTTCGAATTGGACAACCTTTTGGTGCATTTTTGCTATCGCGGCAACGCGACGGAGGATCGCGTCGGATCATAACATCACTGTACAGTTTAAAGATGACTTTTATTAGCTACACATGTGATGGACAGAGTGTGATCAGGATACTAGAGATGCTGACATGCTGTAGCTGTATGGATCCTTTCAAAAATCTCACCTGGTCCTGGAGAGCGTTTATCATCGCGCCATCTTCCAAGATATCGATAGCCCGATTAGACTGATTCCCAAATCTATTCAGCTGCAATTACGGTTGATGAGATCGATGTTAACAAAAAGACTCACCCTGAAAACACGTCATGGCCAGGGTCGGCCCATGTTACTCGAGTTCCGGTCTGCAAGCAAGGGAATGTGTTGAGGTACTAATGGACTGGACTTCCAAATAGGTCGCGGCAAATCGAGCCACCAAAATTCAAACATCGTTGCATGTACAAGTGCGGATTCCAAAACAACCTGATATATATGTCTGGGCAATGGTACATCGACGGTACACACACCATTTGTTTGGAGGTGCTAGAAGCCCTGACAACCAAGGTATCAATACTGTGAATATCAATGCCGAGCCGTTCCGACCTACAAGCCTGATCACCATCTCTCACATAACGGATCCTAAGCTGTCGCTCGCATTATTTTTGCCATGTCCCCATGTGCCGCCGACCAAGTTGACAGGATAATGGAGTAGCATGAAGTCAACGTGTATCACCTCACATCTTTAAAAGCTTCTTCTGTGCTTCTTGGTCGCTATGCATGTCACAAGACCTACCTCGATTGAATAGACTGGTGTTCGTGTTTGGCCGTGCCACGTCGTTGCCGCTATGATGGCTGTCGACTGCAGTTTCAGTTTCCCGTGATCATTTCCCGTCTGACAGTCAAATTGCTGTGTCAGACCAAGTCTCCTCGCGCATTTATGTGGAGTATCCATATCGGTCTCCGCTAGCTTAAAAGAAACTCCTCGATTCGTTCGTCCCTTCGTAAAACAAATGCAATTCCACATTCCTTGTACGGGTTGAGCAAATAAAGTCTATAATGGACTCACTATCGGAATCCTCTAGTATCAAGCCCCAACGGGTACCGCCCTAACATCCTCACGTATATTCTTCTCTTCTGACTCCCGAATGCTCGATGCGTTCTCCTCAGTTACCTTCCCAATGTTTGACACTGGGCCCGTGAACCAATGCACACCACCATACACGGGGAAGTAGTACCACACGATAGACAAAAAGAGTATACCACCCAGCACGACCACGGTGTAGTTCATGTTCGCAACATCAGTTTGTGGCGTCGTCGGGAAGAAAAATGCGATGTCCATAATGAACATGTACGACACGGCAATGAACGCAACTGGAATGCTCTTCAAATCACAACTCAATAGTCAACAAGCATCCTTAAGCACCAAGCTGTCCGACTCACAAAGATGCCTAAATCGAAGGGACCAGGCTTGAAGTCGTTTTTGAACACGAAGCGCGCGATGATCGGGATTGAATATGCGATGTATAACGCTGTGACGGATAGAGAAAAGATGGCGTTGATAGCTTGCGGGCCCGCGAACGACAACAAGCCGAGGATGATCGAGATGATCGCGACGAACCAAACAGTGTTGACGGGCGTCTTGGTGAAGCTGTTCATGCGATAGAGGACGGATGAGAACGGAAGTGCGCCATCACGGGAAAATGCGAATGTTTGGCGGGATGATGCAAGGACCATGCTCGAGCCCATCATATATCTGCACCTAATCAATTATAGTTCAAAGGGCACAGCTGTCCACTTACTGAACAAGCACGACGAAGGACCACAGTGCAAGCGTTCCCTTTTGGCCGAAGCTGTTGAAGAAAATTTGGGCCATGGGTTGTCCAACCGGGCTGTTCAGAAGGGACTCCAGGTCGCTGCCCATACAGAATGTAAGAGAGACGTTGATTGCTGCAAGACGATAGGCAGTGTTAGAGAAGTTAACATGAATAAATACTACGTACCCCAACCAAGGATGCCTGCGATACCGATGGCGCTGACCTGGAATGCACTCAGTAATTGAACAAATACCGGGTTCGAGGCTTACAATGGCCCATGGAACAGCAGTGGCAGCATTCGACGATTCCTCGCTGATATGCACACTTGAGTCAAAGGAACCTTCAACATGACATCAGTACCCATGACACGTGCAACGCCCTGTGAGAACATACCAATGGTCCATGCCGGTGCAAGGAAACTTAGAATGAATGCGTAGCCATCTGTCCAGCCGTTCACTGTATATACCATTCTGATATCAGTCGAGTTCACTACCAGAACGTATTCACTGACAATTTGTGAAATTACCAAGCGCATAACTTGCGCTGTTCATGTTCGCCTTTGGCGTTGCAGCAGGAAGGCCAATAATAACGGCAAGACACAAACTACTCGCAGTAATTCAGTAACTCGAATGCACCTGTACGGCTTCATCACAAACCAGACGTTAAGCACAACATAAACTGTTTGCAGTCTTGCGAGAACCGCAGTTCCCAAGCAGCATATCACTGCGTGCGACAAGACTATTGCAACGTAGACTCCACTAGATATTCGACATCATGAGCAAGTTCATTAATTGGACCAGTGTCTTAAATGGCGCACAAAGTTTGGGCACTTGTTGGGGTAAAAGCTTGGCCTGAGCCAATGGATATTGCAGCCATGACTTGCACTGCGCATCCCCAGTCAATAGATGCTATGCAGGAAGTCATAGTAAGTAAAATTTGGCATCACAAAGCAGCCATGAGCGTCTTACCAACCGACGCTATGGTACCGATGGTGTTTGAGTCTGTCGTCGCGTCAATACACCTCTGCTCGTTAAAATTACCATAACAGACTTACACCCAACAATCCAGGCAAGTAAATTTCTGCACCGCGGAGATGACAAGGAATGTGTCCAGAAGTATAACTGTGTTTCATCCACATCACTCCAGGATACTACGTCAAGAAAGACAAAACCGGACTCACCCCTCCGGATGTTGGCGCTGCGGAACCCAATTCGGCCATTGACATCCCTACGCAGAGGATAAAAAAACTTGCAGCTGCCCACTATGGGATATCGACAAGTAACCATGTCACCCCCATCAGCATAATTCGCGCAAGGAGATACCCGGCGGAGCAAGCACGTACACCCCACACCATCGAAGCTGGTCCTCCATTGGGCACAGCGTAAAACAGAACAGAGCTATTCAAATGAATTAGACCCTTGGAAGGCAAAGAGAAGGACGACGTACGCAATCGAGGGGAGTAGGCCAATAATACTGAAAGCTATACCAAAGACCTGTGATCGTCTTCGCTATCAGTTCTCCAATGGCTAAACATGGCAGCATTGATAATACCTCTAAGGGTGTAAATGCACGCTTGAACTCCTGCTTGTACCCGAGCTCAGCGAGCAAGGCCTCGTCTGCCCTTGAAACAGCGTGCTGCGGTGATTCCATGTCGCGCGCAGCTAGTGGGATGAAAAGAAGAAGCGATGGAGCGCGGAAGAAAGCCGGCCTCATACGAATCCCATTTGGTTATCTACAGCATTAAGCGCCCATTACGAAGCTAAGCCATATCATAATAGAAAACGGTCTTGATAAGCAACCCACCGGTGGGGCGTACCGTAATCTAGGCACTAGTACTGAGCGCTGAGCTGTCACTGTAACAATTGGATATTGCAGAGATCAGGCTGTGTGATAAGTACCCACTTGGAGCTCTTGGTACATGTGCATGAGATGCCAGTGAGAGCGTTCTGTCGAAAGTGGCAGCGTGGTGCGCAATCGGTTATCCGACTCCCTCGCTGCGATGATAGCAACAGGTTGGACCTGGTTGATATTATCGGTTGCATGCTTAAAGCACTAACACCACCTGATTGGACTCGTCGTCGCTTCATGATCACGGATCTAATGTTGGTCACGGACACAGTCACGGTGCTGGGGCAAAAAAAAATCGGATATCCTAAAAATGCCACGCCACCATTGTGACACGGGCTGGCTGGCTTAGTACATACTACTTACACACTGACTGAAACACAAGCTACCTTTTGGCGTTACGGTGGACCAGGGGTCCCAGGACAAGGGTACAGAGACCTAGGCTTTCGGAGGTTTCCACAGCTTAGTCAGACGATACACACATGCACACGGTTCCTGTAGTAGCATAGCTCATTCCTTCGCAGCAGCGGTCTCTCATCTCATCTCTAGCACTAGTCCATCTTGGTGAACAGAGCGATTTCGAACCAAAGACGCATAGGATTTTAGGAGCATTCAGCATCTTCAGATCATCGGATTTAGCAGCAGCCTTGCATATAACCGCAGCATCAGAATCAGAAGCAAAGCAGGATACCATTTGCGAAAAGCTTCGCAGACAACGTATTACGTCGTATTACGATCAAAAAAGATAAAGATAAACAACAGGTGTTTGTTAAACAAACCACAAGTATTCAAAAAGGGCTGTGTTCTATTTCTACTCGTTTACGTGGAATTTCACCAAAAAACTGATGCATAGCGGTTTGAGACCTAGAACAGAAACAGGACAGGCGATAACCAACGTTCGGTTAAAAATTAACTGGTCAGCGGATACGTCCACAGCTTCATCCCCGCTAGACACACCAGAACAATTTCCAAATTCTCCGCTCACGAGCATCAATAGCTCAGGAAGTAACAGGGCATTGTCTGAGTTAGACGTACCGAATTTGGACCTCGATTTATCTCAGCTCGAATTAGAACTACAAGAGTACGCAAAGCCAGAACCGTTCACATCGCTTTTCACGACACCAAACTACAATCTTGGCGAGTTCTTCGAAATCGCAGAGCCAAAACAATATATGCCTATGGAGACACCGCAGATATTTCATGGCGATGGACGCAAAACAGAAAATCCGGCAGACTTTCTTAAGTCATTCAATCGGGCAATGAGACAACAGGAGCATGGATCGAAGAAATCTCGGAGCAACAGGGAAAAGGGGATGGGTCGACGTAGAGCAGAACAATACATCGACCCAAAGTTTCAAGGACCCGCAGGACGAAATCGAAGTCCTCGCATGTGTGGAGGCAAGATGCGAGGAAAAGATCAGGATCAATAGCCCCGAACTCTATGCTAAAGCCGTAGCTAAGGATGTCAAATGTATCACCAATTCTCGCAGCGCAATCGAGATAGTTGACTTGTATTCGGTCGGACACCCGCAAACAACGAAGGCACAAATAGAGAACGGAGAGGCAGTTCCATTCATACACCGAATCGAACTGGAAGGTCCACAGGGAGAGGTGGTTAGAATCAGAGCGCTATTCGATGACGGAGCAATGGTTAGCGTTATGTGCTCATCAATATTTCAGATAATCAAGCACAGACTACACAACTATGGCCAATCGAACAAAAAACTACGGATGGCGAATGGAAACGTCATTAATTCGGTTGCGAAATGGACAGGAAACGTTAGAATTAACGGGATAATAACGGAGAGTACGTTCGAGGTTTTCGATAGCGGAGGGAGTTGGGGATTTCTACTGGGAAAACCAACGCTCCAAGCATTTGCGGCGGTCCACGATTACGCAACGGACAAGATAAAGATTTCAGGAGGCGCACAAGAAGCACAACTAGAGAATCAAGTCAAAGATCAGCGCATGATGGAGCAAGGCGAAGGGGTCAACTTAACGCTGGACGAGAAACAGCAAAGAGAGGAAGTTGAAAGCACGAGAGCAAAGAGGGTGCAGGAAAGAAGAAGGCAGTCGAGAACACCGATGGGACAGTGGAGACCAACGGTGCAAAGAATGGAAAGGGGAACATGGAGAAAAGAATTAAAGAGGGAAACATTACGGGGGAGTGAGGAGCTCCCTGCGAGGGAAGTCAATCAGAATTCGTCAGCGGAAAAGGAGAAAAACGTTAACGCACCAGGGATTACAGAGCATGCGGTCAGCACCAACGTAATATTGGAACAGGATGAAGGGGAGACAGAGGACGAGATATTAGAGGAGCTTCGAGAACCAGAACCAATCAAAGGAAGTGCGGCACTATACACTCGTCAATTGGACCCATTCAATCCGATAAGAGTCAAGGAAATCTTACGGCAAATAATGTTTGGGGACGACTTAACAGAGGAGGAACGAAAGGAGTTAGAACAACTGGTATCGAGGAACGCGGATAACTTTGCACTAACATTAAAGGAAGTGGTCCCAATACCAGGAGCGACGTTGAACTTAAACATCCCGGACGACGCAACATTTAATCTGAGGATACACCAACGACAACTAACACCAGAACAGTCGCAGTTCTACAATGAGAGAGTGAGCGAAATGCTCGCAGCAGGAATAGTGGAAAGGGCACCACCGGAGCTTATCAAGTGCGCAGCAACAACGGTCATCGCTCAAAAGGCACACGAAGCTGGAGGCTTGACGTGGGACGAACTCAAACAACGAGTCAACGATCAATATAGGACAGCAGGAATGCGCCCAGCGTTCGAGTTACCACCGAGAGAAGTACCAAGACCAACATTGGACGAACCAGAAGAGAGAAAACCGAAGAAATGGAGAGTTTGTCAGAACTTTGCGCAACTCAACAAAGTAACGGAAGTCGCACCAATGCCACAGGGGGATATCCTAGCAAAACAACAAAGATTAAGTGGTCATCGTTTCATATCAATATTTGATTTTGCAGCAGGATATTACGCCATAGAAGTACCGGAAAAGTGGCGCCCATACCTAGCGTTTTATATCGAAGGACGCGGGTACTTTTGGTATCGAAGAATGCCAATGGGAATAACGGGAGCCCCAACAGCATTTTGCGAAGCGTTAGCGGCAAGACTACATGATTTATTAGTAACACACTTCATGGAGTTGTTCATGGACGATGGGGGTTGCGCGGCAAGTACATTCAAAGAAATGATAGAGAAACTAACAGTTCTATTCAAGCGCTTTCGAGAATGTAAGTTCTCGATAGCACCAAGCAAAACCAAGCTGTGCATGACGGAAACCGAGTTTGCGGGGGGAACAATAGGAAGAGATGGAGTTAAACCAGATTTAACAAAACTCACAGCTATTGTAGAATGGCAACAACCCCAGGACGCACAAAACTTAGCATCGTTTTTAGGTTTGACGGGGTTTTATCGTACGCTAATAAGCGCATATGCAAAAAGGGAGGGACCAATTCATAATTTGTTACTCAGAGTACCAGTGGACAACACCATGTCGAAAGCGACGTACCGACGAACAATGAGCAATTTCAAGCTAGGTGCTATTTGGACTCAGGAACACACTAACACATTTCTAGACCTCAAAACAGCGATCACATCAAGACCAGTATTACAAGCACCAAGATATGATGGCTCACATTTTGTTGTTACGTCGGACGGATGTCTGGAGGGCTTCGCGGCGGTACTATCGCAGAGAGTAAAGACACAAACACCGACAGGATGGTGGGTAGAACGAATGCATCCACTAGGTTTCGCATCGAAACGGACATCGGCAACGGAAAGGAAGTATAAGTCGTATTTGTTGGAATTTGCAGCACTGAAATTTGGGTTAGATAAATTTTCAGGTATAATATGGGGTTTCCCAGTCGAAATCGAGACAGATTGCAGCGCAATGAAGGACACGCTACTAAATCCAAATATGAATGTGGCGCACGCTAGATGGCAAGAAGGAATTCTAGCATATCACATAGTGGACGTCAGACACGTACCAGGTAAGCTAAACGTCGTAGCTGATGGCCTCAGTAGGAAATGGGAGAACACGCAACCCATTCAAGGAGACGGGAGCGAGTGGACGGTACAAGAAGACTGGGAAGCAAGGATAGGATTAGCAAACGATATCATGCACGTGGAATTGGTCAATACGGAAATCGACAATCTCCGTAAACGATTCGACAAAGAACCAGTTTTCTTGGAAGTCGTAGATGCAATACACAATCTGGATCAAGATAAGGACGTACGGGAGAAAAAGAGAGCAAGGCATAGAGCATCCCAATACATCATAGAAGAAGGGAAGCTCTGGAAAGTACATGGCGGAACAACGACAAGAGCCAGAGCTAAGGTTGAATGTATATCGAGAGAAGAAGCAAAGACACGAGCGGCAAAAACGCACCTGGAAGGCGGGCATTGGGGGAGGGACACTATCAAGATTGCTCTTCTGGACAGCATATGGAGCCCGAAGTTAGATGCGTCAATTTTGGAAGCTATTAAGAACTGCGCTAAGTGCAAGAATTTTGGACCGACACACATAAACTCACTATTTGAACCCATCACCAGGAGACACCCATTCGAGCTCTTAGTCGGGGATTACCTATCTCTCCCGAAAGGGAAGGGAGGGTATAGCACACTTGGAGTTTATCTCGACACGTTTTCGCAACATACTTGGGTCTTCAAGTATAAATCGGCGGGTAGCGCAAGAACCACGGTCGACAGTTTAACTAATATCTTCAGCGCATTCACACCATCGGAGACGTTCATGGCGGACAGGGGCAAACATTTCAATAACGACGCTGTACGAATGTTCTGCGAATCAAGAAAGTGTAAGTTGCACACAGTAGCGGCATACTCGCCCTGGGTCAATGGTTTAGTAGAAGGTACGAACAAGCTATTATTACACGTACTGAAAAGATTGTGCGCGCCCGAAATAGGAGAGGATCAACAGCAGGAAATAGCATGGGACAAACTGCCTAAGTCGTGGCCGGACCACATCGATGATGCGGTCCACGCCCTTAACTATCGTCTGTTGCCGGCACTAAAATTTTCACCAAAGGAGTTACTATTGGGACTCGTCATTAATACCCCGATAACAATGGTAGAGGAAAGCACATCAACACTACGTTCATCAGAAGCATTAGCACAAATAGCTTACGTGGAACAACAGAGGTTAGATGGATACGACGAAGTCGTGCGACATGCCATAAAGCGGAAGGCGAAATTCGATAAAAGAGTACTGCAACGGGCACCAGGTGAAGTCACATTCAAAATAGGTCAATTGGTTCAGGTCTACCGTAACGATTTAGATTATACATTCAAAACGGAGAGGAAGCTTATACCGAAATGGTCCGTCCCAAGAAGAGTGCGAGCAAGAGCACGGAATTCATACACGCTAGAAAATCTGAAGGGGACACCGTTACAGGGAGATTTCAGTGCAAGAAGACTGAGAGCCTTCACACCGCGTCTAGGCACTGAGCTAGCAAGAGAACAAGAGGAACACGAAAAAAGATTAGAAGAAAACAAAACGGAGGAGGACGAAGAACATACGACAGAAGAAAGAAATAAGGAAAAAGAGCAAATAGAAGATAACGAAGATGAAGAAAATAACAACGAAGAGGACGATGAAGAAAGAGACGGAAAAGAGGAAGAAAACGACGAAGAGAACGATAGCGAAGCGGAAGGAGAGTAGAAGACGGAATAGGATCAAGAGTGGCGTCGAGGCCGGCGCCGGTCGTTTTTTTTAGGGGGGTGCATGGACCAGGGGTCCCAGGACAAGGGTACAGAGACCTAGGCTTTCGGAGGTTTCCACAGCTTAGTCAGACGATACACACATGCACACGGTTCCTGTAGTAGCATAGCTCATTCCTTCGCAGCAGCGGTCTCTCATCTCATCTCTAGCACTAGTCCAACGGTCAAGGGTACAACAATACGCCAGGCTCTCAACTCCTCTTTTCAAGTTGTACGCATCCCTGCAGTTACTCAAAGTCTCTTTCACAACCCTCATCAACGTTTTTAGAATCCCGAGATAGCTTGTCATTCATGCAATTGCTGGCTGTTGTACTTTACAGTTTACCGTGGATTAGGGTCGTTACCAACAACATTTCCTCCAGCACTTCCGCTCTCTGCTCGACGCGACCGCCATCTTTCAGTGCTATCAATCTGCCTTTCTTCCCTCTACCACTTGGTGACCTTCACCTAAGGCGACATCTTCATGGCTTGAACTTACGCCAGCTGATGAGTCGAGTCCTCGGCGCTCGAAACGCTCCCTTGACTTTCCAAAGCAGCAATACTTGTCCGCAAACGAGCCAACCAAATCGGAGTCTTACAAGGGGATGAAGAGGCTGAATAGTTGTATTCCTATGCTTCCTAAGGTGCGTTACATGAGCCAAAAACATGTTTTTGAGAAATTTTCATCGCCTCGCCTTACAACGTCAAAATGGCTGGAAGTTGTGCAGAAAACGAGAGTGCCTAGTTTTAGCAGTCAATGTATGTCAGTGGCATCTTTGTTAGGTTCAAGATCCCTCTCGGAGAGGAATTCCTCCATCCAATAAATCCTTGGAACCTCGCGAACATCGAGCGGCACCATATCATCACGATGGTGGACCACGATGTACCAAGCATCAAAAGTGTCATTCACCGACGCTTTGCTGGTGTAACTGGCGACCTGAGTCTGCCTGTATACAGGTCGCCCATGCCCAAGATAAGCTGCCTCTTTCAGCAAGTGAATGATAAGCGCAAGGTGTAAGTTATGTTGATCGTATTACCGGAGAAGTGTCTGCTACAGTTCCACCAACATCATTCCGTATTGAAAAGCTCTGGCGATGTCTGATTCGACGGTCACGAGATTGTTTTGTGCACACCCGGCTCTCAACAGCAGACTTGTAACTCTTCAATCAGTCAGTTGAAGGTGGGAAATATCATCCATATGAATATCTGAGAAAGCTGCTGGAGAAGTCGACTTGATGGTATCTTCGCAGAACAACTGACATCAGGATTCAGCACTAAAAACAGACATGCTGCTCAGTGATCATGAAGTATATCAGTCAGCAGGACAGCGTGCTCTCTTGGCAGGTCCAACAATGTGTAAACCAAGCGGACAGTGTGAGAGCCTTCACACGTCTTGGAGGAGTCCTTGAATGACTACGATAGTACGTATTCCCCGACTCCCGCGTTAGCCTGAGTGGGAAGAGTGTCTAAATGTCCTGTTTTGCTGGAGCCAAATGTGGTAGCGAGTGTGAAAAGTTCTCCGCCCTGGCTCCGACAACTCTTCTTTTAAATTTGATGAACGAGCCACAGTCTGGTTGAACGGAGTCGGTCACAATAGAGTCGGTCACAATATTGGAGAATACATACTGAATTGCATAGAGGATGAGGACAACACGGAAAGCACCGGCGGAATTCCGGAGATAACCGTCATGATGCTGCCTGCGCAATCCCAAAGGGCTCGTCATATCCACTGGTAGTGGGAAGTCGGGATACAGCAGTCACGACATGGGTTGTGTATACTCTCTACTGTATCCAATTGCCGTACTCAAAACTCGCTGGCCATCTAAACTCTAGCAGACAGTCCGCACCGATCATCTGTACCCCGTCCATTTAGCGACGTCCTTGTGGCCAAGTCCCACGATCTCACTCTACTGTTGCCACTCTCAACCATGCATAACAATCTAAAGTTACCACTTACAAGATATCTCTTTGCATAACTCGATGCGCGCGCACAAGGGACAATGAACGATTACGTCAATTTGTAGTCCAGTCCCTTGAAGGTAAGAAAAGTTCACTCACCCGGGTGTCCCTTGTCTACATGGATATTGTGCATAATTATCCTTACCCCTTTACAGTTACAGCGACAGAGAATTTATCACATACACGCCGCTCCAATAGCCGTCTGTATTCGATCGCAGATGAATTGTATCACATGTTCATCTGAAGTAACTCGTACAGTCCCTGTGACAGGGTTACACATGCATGTATGTTGGCAATTTAGTCTCCTTGGTCATTTCCGCGGTATTTTCTCCTTCTCGATATATATTCGTCAGGTCAGGACGCCGTTATATGTGTTATCTCGTTATATGCCTATTCTCTTGTTTGCTAAGTTGCTCGTACTGTCATCGAGCTACAGTAAGGACGTATGTTCCCATTTTCCCGGTAAGTTTTAATGTGGATTTACATGTCACTGGTTAAAGTCTTGAAGCTTGAAGCTCGAATCCTGAAATGAGTGTACTGGTTCTTCTTAGAACTCCTATTGCTTATCTCTAACATACTGTCTACGTACGACAACTAGTCCTTCACATCGGAGAAATGTGCTCATCACTGATTGCAATGCGCCTCACTACCATAGATGCGTCAGGATGGGTAGTCATTAGTTCGCGAACGGAGTGTGAACCTGTTGGTACCAGTAATATGACTGATCGATTGCTATGTATACGCTGGTAATGTATGGGTCAAGACCTGCCAAGACGTCCAAGGTCTCAATTCGAGCTAATATCAGTCCAGGAAATATTACTTTTGGATTGTGGGCCAGCAATTCAAGAACAACCGCGGACATGTTCGTCCAGTCTTACAAGTATCTCGTTCTGGTCTTCGCTTGACTTGCGAGCACTAGTCATTGATTAGCCGAAGTTATCTGCGGCAACGTTTGGCTTACTCACAAGGACTGTGCGAAAACAGGTAGATCGGCTGGGCTATTAATCATGCCCAGTTCGATCAGCGCCATTTGTCGTGAGGCCAATCTACGTTGGGCGATGAGTAGGAGTGTCAACACCTCAAACCTTGTTTGGGAACTCACTTTGATTGCGGAGACAGAGGTGCTTTATGGTGCTTCCGTCGAGGTGGCCATTCTGGTTCAGGGGTTTTCGATTGCTGAGGGGTGCTTTGGTTTCGTTCGGGTTTCAGTTTCTTGACAGCCGCTCTTTTTCTCTTCGCCTCCTGCCATCGCATTGCTCAACAAGCCTGTGAGAGAGAATATCACGAATACTAACCTTAAGTGCGGTCCGAGAACGTTCTTCTTCTATACGACTTGGTAATAACACGTCGTCATTGCGGTGGCTGTACTTCACGCCTATTGCGCTGAGTGTCTTGTGAATGTCATTATCATCTGTAACCTCCGGAGGTTCTTCGAAAATACAAAGATCAGTCCTTTCACATGCTAGTTCCAGCTGAAGCTCACCATCGTCGAAGAGAAGAGCACTCAGCCCCCGTAGGTCGGCCTGACACATGATTACATGACATGAAACAAGTAGACAGGGGACTTACTTCCTCCTTTCCGCTCTTAGAATCGGCTTCATATACCCAGTCATCGGCCTTAGATTTTGTTAACTTCTTCGACTTCGTGGAGCTGAGATGAGCAAGTGCCCAGTCTAGCTCCATGATCGTTGCTTTCTCGATCTGCGGCAGGTTCACCTCAATATTTCCTGAGCAAAAGATATGAACTTACAGCCATCTTAGTCGCCAGAGTATCCTCATGCAGCTTGAAGATGTTCTTGATTCCAAACAATTCACCTTGTCTGGAAGTGTCCCCTTGAACGCCGGAGAAATACCTAACAGGAAAATCTGAAATCATGCACTCGAATCTTGGTCCTCATTAAATACCTCGTTTGCACGCTGGCCTGATACCCAATGGCCATCTGTTGTTGTTTGTACAACTGCCTTGCATAAATTAACTCTTCGATTGAGCCAGCTCCAAGGAGGCGGTAAACGAAAACGTCGCGTGTCTGCCCAAAACGATATGCTCTGTCCATAGCTTGCAGGTCGTGGGCAGGATCTACGTGGACATGAGTAGGTGTCAAGCAGAATTGAGCCAAATACATACTCCAGTTGGGATCTGCATGATATCCAGGTTTAAGTCTCAGCATTCAAAGCAGGATATTTAAACTCGCCGAAAATGACCACTTTGTTCGCTCCAGTCAGGTTAAGACCAGTTCCTCCAGCAAGAGTAGAGATGAGAAATATGAAGATGTCGGAGTCTTGGTGAAATCTATCTATCATAGGCATCCCTGAAGCTGATATTAACAGCCGCGGCAAACAGAGAGTCCGTCTCTTACTATCACTCTGCTTCGTGGATCCATCCAGTTTGAGGAAGCCATAACCTTGCAATCAATCAGTACTCAATCGATACGGAAAAAATCCTCTTCATACTATTGGTATTGAGATGAAACTCCAACATATCGAGAAGCTTGACGGATTTAGTGAATATGAGGACCTTGTTCGTGCGGTCTTTTCTCCATTCTTTAAGTAGGGTATCGAGTACCTTCCAGGGCAGTGTAAAATGTAGGATATAAATTCCACAAAACAATGACTTACAACCCACTTTCCGCAATACTGCGGCAGTAGCATGGCTGTCCCATACTTTGGTATAGGCTGTCCCGGGAAGGCTACTTCCGCGAGCTCCCGATTCCGTAGGGTCTGGAACAACTATCAATGCACCAAAAAGATCAGTAGAAACTTCCACGCGCACTTGTTCCGGGCTATCGTTTGGGGCTTGCGTATATGAGCATTTATATGGTAGCAAGCAACTGAGCCATCAACGATACCTGGAAGTATTAACGCTAAATGATTTGAGATCTTGATGAGTATTGACATATACTTGAGAACGCCTCCCTTCTCAATATGGTAGCAGCAGTCTTTGCGCCTGTACCAAACATGATTCTCAGCATGCTCGGAGTATGTAATGCAAACCGACTTTTTCCCTGATCCGCAGTCACAATTTTCGTCTTTTCTGACGAGATTCTGTACGTGATTCATATTTAGGATGCGTTTGTAAACGGCAACCTGTATGGGCGTAAGCGGGCAAAAAACTACTTCATCGGTTTTCGTGGGTAACTGATGGTTGTATTCAGCACACGATGGTATAACAGGTAGAAGCTTCGCACTTGGTCCTTGATAATGTCCTTTGTTCTGTAAAAATAAACATTTTAGGCAATAACTGCAGAAAAATGTTGGTCATACCTCCTTTTAAAGAACTGGGGTAATACTTTGTCTCTAACTATAATGGCGACCGTCTACTAGACATCAGAATGAGCCGCGAGTTGCAAAATACGCACTCACCAAAGCCTTTGTTCTCTCCTCTTCAGTCGCACTAGTAGATTGACCTATCGTCAATGGCTTCACAACGTAACCTTTCCACTGTTTGCTTGTTCCTAGCCGGCCAGGGTTGGTCCAGTCAAGTATCGTCCATGCTTCCATATAGCTATTTTGAATGGTTGTGCCTAAATTTCCCGCTGCATCAAGTCATCTTCTAGAAGCAGTAGTCTTACCTGTCAGACCAAACCGGCAAAGACATGCAAATTGATTATATGCTAAAGTGATCTTTGACTTTGGATTCTTTACTCTATGCGCTTCGTCGACGAAGACAGCAGACCAAGCGAGGTCATCCAATAGCGCAATGTCTCGACGGGCAAGGTCAAACGTAGTAAGCACTGTTCCTCGAAATTATCAGGCGGACAGAAAAGATAGAGTCATGGACATACCGACATCGAGCCTGCCCATTTTGAAGTCGGTAAGAACATCATCCCGTTCTTTCTTCGAACCTGTATAAGATCCGACTTCAAAATAGCCCCACTGAGCAGGCAGTGAGACATTGTGGCGTTACTTGTTGCTTATATTCACTCACCGTCTGAAACTCGCGCTCCCAGTTTGGTACAACAGATGTAGGGGCGATAATGAGACATGTGGGCCAAGTCTTGTTCGCCGGTGGTAAAGCGCGACGTTTTTTCCATTCCAGTCCATCCTGGATATCAGACACATGATCTCGACGCCTGTTGATATCGCGTTCGTCCCCGTGCTTCTTCATGATTGCTGAGAGAAACGATATCACTTGAATAGTTTTACCCTAAGAAGGTAGAAGGTTGAGTCAAGAAGAACAGAAGAACACGTCTGGACTGACGAGACCCATATCATCACCTAGCAAACCACCACGACCTTGTTTATATAAATCCCAGAAAAAACGAACGCCCTCCCTCTGGTATTCTCTCAGATAGGTATTGATCGAAGCGGGCACCATGATACCCTCGGCTCTGTCCAATATCATAGGTCCGAGAGGACTCTGACCGGGAGCAAGCGGGAAGCCAGGCTTTGCATGGAGATTCTATATCTGTATCAGTAAGATGATGATCAGAGAATTACATTAGGCTTTACGGGGTTGGGGTACGTTTCGTCTTCGTCTTCAGGCTCCGTTTCGGAGTCGGATTCTGGAAGCTTCATGGTGTTGGGCGCTGGTAGTTTTGAGACTGTGGGTAAATCTATATCGGACTCTGGTTCAGTTTCAGACTCGTCTATAGTGGGCGTCAACAGAGTCGTCTTGGCTGGCCACAAGGTTAAATGTACCATCTAGGCAAGGCGTTTTTCTCCGCTTAGAAGCTGGCATAATCTGATCTGACGCAGGTGACTTCCGCTTCGTCGAAACCTGATCAGCTTCTGGTTCTGACTCGGGTTCTGAAACAAAACGTACGCATTCACAGGTGTGATATGTGAACAAGATCAACTTACCAGTGACAGAATCATCATCAACCGGAGTTTGTGAATGACTTTTCTGTGTAACGATGGGAGTGCTCTCTTTCGAAGCTTTAACAAATGCAGCTATGGTCCTAAGCATTACTGGCTGATCAGGTTCAGACTCGTGCTCTTCTGCCGAGTCGCCGTCTTCAGGATCATCTTCATCCACTTCGCCGTCATCAGACGCAGACTGAAGTCCAAGGTCATCATCTATTGGAAGTAAGCTCAAGCACTGCTAAGAACATTGTTAAGCGAACCAAAATACTCCTTAAGTGGGTTATGGCGTCGAGACGCCTCTGGATCCATTGGCCGGCGCTTCCCTAATATAATCATCACAAACACATATTGTTTTCTTATAAAAATGACTCACGACTTCTGGATGATGACTGAAAATTTCCAAGAACCTCGCTTCGTCTTTTCCGTGACTTGCCACGGGGGGCAGATGGAGATGCGTCCTCAGCAGCCGTTGCTTTGCGGTTTCCGCGTTTCTTAGTCTCATAAATGAAGATTCCAGGGTTAAATTCAGGATCTGAATCAGGATCTGTACGTGAGGGAGGAAAATATTCGTGAGGTTGTCAGTATTTATTCGTGTGAATTATGCAGACCTAGGGGTGCAGGGACAGATTCGAGAATCCCTGCTTAGTACAGTCCCAGGTCAGCCCACGAGCTAATCCCGAAGAAAAAAGACCAACCTTTCCCATATGTAGAGGTTTTAACTTCGGTAGTTCGCAGTGGCATCTTTAGCGACCAATGTCAAGTTGCTGAATGTCACGATGGTGGATGGGAGAAAAGGAGAACACCGATTTTGGTCCTTGGGCGCGTTCCATATTATGATCACGTGATTGTTTGCATCACAATCATGTGACTATAGTCACGAAAAGTTATACCTTTCTCGTCCTTGTGGTCCTGATGGAAGTCTGCATCATTATTAATTTATTGTTCAAACAACTCCACCAACTTGGGAAAGGTTGATCATACAAAAGTACAATCTTTTCTGAAGTAACGAGAGACAACATGCAGAACATAAATGTGTAACAAAACACACGACATGAATAGCAACACGATGAAAGGGCAAACTGTACGAGGGCTCGTCGGGAGTGCATTACGAGTGTCGCGTGTTTCGCATAGGAAGTTAATATACTCAACTGACATCAAAACGACTTATGACAATTATGTTAGAAGAAAGCGAACAGTGCCTTCATATGTACAAGGAGACAGGGGATGCGGCATTAATCTTCCTCTTCATCGGCTGGTTCTTCCCCGTCACTTTTCTCTTTTGCTGAAGATTTGGTCTACAAAAAGATGTTCAATACATGCCATGATGTGGACAAATGACATATACATACGGCAGCCATGGATGCCTTCTCCTCCTCTGCCCTTGTCTTGTCCTTGGCGGCCAATTCGATATAAGGCTGTGAGTTGTGTCAGCACCAACAGCATTTTGTCTTACACCTTAGACGAACCTGCTTGTCCTCCTCGTCAAGCTCCTTCCACTTGGCGCCTAGTAGTTTGCCAACCTCACCTACGATAGGGATCAGAAAACAATATGGGAAGAAACGCCATAGGCATACCGAAACCAGCATCGGGGTTCTCAGTCTTGATTCTTTCCCTCCAATCTTGACTGAAGAACATGTACGCGGAGAGGGCCCGTTTAGGAGCACCCTTAGCCTTGGCAGCCTTAGCCTTGGTTGCCTTTCCCTCTGATTTACCTGCAGCCTTGCGCTGTTGAATCAATCAGCATCGTGACTGATGAGCACGACCAAGTGACGTAATGAAAGTTGAACAAGGCAAAAATAATGGAAAATGTATGATGCATATGGGGAAAAGCGGCATAAGGCCAAGACAAATGCATAGGAGACTAACCTTGGTTTTGGTGGTGTCCTTGGGCATCTAGAGCATGGAAAACGCATGAGAGATCGATTCAACACGTCGTTGGCATGAGAGATATCAAAGAAAACGAGTGCGACGCGGAGAGACGCGGTACGCGTCAACGCGTCGGTGGCCAAACAAATACGGCCGGCGCCCGTCTTCACTTTCTATACGAGCTCGACGACGGTAAAACGACGTAGAAAGTGACAGTGAACAGCGCAGGACGTCCGTGAAGCAGATAGAACATAATAAAAAATAAAAAAGATGACTGACTGTTGTTGTGTACTACGGTGAGTATTAAGCACGGTTTTGATTTAGGCGGGTGAGGACCACAGTACAGCTATACAGGCAAGGTTGGCTGAGGGGATGTTTGGCGGGTGGGAGCCTTGTATAAGGCCAGCCACCTAACAACCGTGAGAATAGGGCACGGACTCTTGCTGACATAACCACCACCTCAACAAACCCACGATGCAACGGCCCGTCTTATACACAACAGACCTACGGTCTTTTTTGGGTCTCTTTAGCGATAGTTCATCCAGGGCCAGCATTAACCCAACTAATTTAATGACGATAGAGTCTTGACACCACACATAAATAGTACGCAGACCCGTGATCCAGATGGTATGAATGATGTGAATATGCAGCAGAATAGCAGATCTAGAATAATACTTGGAAGTTAGCGTACTTCAAGGCTTTCCCATGAGCTCTTCACTCACCTTCTATGAAAATTTGTCCCGTTCATAATTTTCCCTGCAGTGAATTTGATCCTCAGGTTCAGCATCGAAGTCGATGTCAGGTAGACAGAGCTGCCCCAAGCCAAGGTCAGGCAATCGCGCCATTTTGAGTAAGAGACTGAGCCCCTTGTCGCCCTGTCCATCTCCAGGACCATTGAGAAGGTCCCATGTAAAGTCATCTATTTCATCTGCGGTTCTACCCCAAGTCGTTTTAATTGCACTTGGATACTCGAATGACGCAACGATGAAGCAGACAGGAGAACCTATACCATTCAGGGCCGTTTTCATTGTATTTTAAAATAAAAGTACGTACAAAGACCCGATATCTCCTGTTCCCGGGCAAGTAAAGGTGAACGGGTTTCGTTGGTACGATTTTCGCCATCGTCAGTGAGGTCTGGCAAAATATCGCCGAGGCGATAAAGCCGCCTGCATGATGGACAAATGCGACTAGTAGCACGGCTTTTATTGTACCATAGGACCTTGAGGGATCAATTTGTGAGCTCACTAGCTACTCCACATAGCACTCACTCACTATAGCGGTTTCCTCCGGCAGCGTAGTACAAAGCATCTGAAGGACTTCCTCCTGTGAGAATTCCGCACATAGAGGGTCTTCCAGTGAAGGAGGCTGGGCAAAAAATGAAGTTAGGAAACCCCGGACGTCGCGAACTCGCGGACCGTTTCCGGGATCATGGATGATTGGTAGTACTTCTTCATGGAGCTCCTGGACATGCGGAGCAGCTAGTTTAGGTGGAGGCTCATGGGCAACACAGACAATGTCGCTTGGGGGTGGCTCAACTTCGTGAACGAGGGAAGGAGGTTCCGCAGGGGCCGTAGCTTGAATAGCTGTTGTCTTCTTCTTGTTCTTTTTCGCAATTGCCTTCTTTTTCTTTTTCGAGTTGCATGGACCTGGCATTAAGAAAAGGCTCCGAATACTCTGATTGAGATGAATCCGTGATGAGTGGCACGGAAACAAAATCACGAAACCAGTCTTGATGGAAAGGGAGAGCGTTTACAATTTAAATTAGCGCTGGATCGCGTGTCACACGTTACATGACGCGTTCGTGACTTGTTAACCTCTTCTACTAATTGTCGTAGATGATTTGATTACATTTGCAAGACAATATTTCATACAACACGTACGCCTTGCAAATAACAACGATCTTCATCTGGAACCGGTCCCAGCTTCTCTTAAGCCAGAAGAAAACCGAAGAGAAAGCAGCTCGGTAAAGAGTCCAACTTGAACCCAACTTGCAAGGAACGCGGCATGGAAACATAAAGACGCGTAGGAGTGAATATTCAATTCAATACTGATCTCACTTTTGATTGTAACATATACACGCCTTCATTGTCAAACACATACTCCCGAGTCCCGATTAATGGACTTAACCAGCACCCATCTATTTTTTCCCCCCGCCCTCTGTGTGCACCCATCGCTTTGGCACACCTTGCGAAGTAAGGAATTCTGTGACCTCCTTGACCTGTTTTCCTTGCACGAGTACTAACATGCCTGACGACTTCCCTGGTGCCGGCGAAACTGACGGGCTCGTATCAGCTACGATATACGTCACTATAATATTAGTTATCCTCACCTGAAGTTGAGGAGGCGCATCTCATCTTCAGCTCCTCTGCAAGAGCAGCCGCCTCCAACAAAAATGGCTCAAAACCTGTAATTAACGTTGTCGCCTTACGACCCTGCCTGACTTTAACTACCACCGATATTGGTTTGATCTGCCCCTTCCTGTACCCAATGGTTGACGACCGATGACCAACGCAATTATAGGAGATCAGACGCACTTGAGCACAGGATCCTTACCCTCGGCGCATATCTTGTACCAACTCTGCATCTTGTCTGATAGGCGCTCAATCAGTTGCTCGCGTTTGAAAAACTCCATGTTCGCTGGATTGTCAGACTTGCAAAGGGTCGTCTGTAGAAGCTCGTCCGCCCCAACATTGATATATGATTGGTCATGCGCGTTCACCAATTGTCGATCGGTAACGTACTTATCGAGTACGGTCTTGATATCCGCATAGGTGTATCGGGCAGATGTACTGCAGGGGACGTCATCAGCGTTCTATCATGAACTAGGAAATGGCGTTGATCCATACTCAAATCCGGCCTCAGCAAAGAATATTAGCGATTGAAGATGGGGTTTCCAAAGCTCTGTTACTTCAAGCTCCTTGACGCGTGACCGCTCCTCTTCTTCTCGTTGTCCACGCTTCTCATTCCTGAGAGCCACATCTTTTAAAGATAAATATGGCCTGTGTGCGACCACATCTGCATGTGATGTGGCAACAGAAAATACCATCAGCTCAGATTTGATCTCTTTAAGCTTCAAGAGGCCTTGTTTCTCTGCTGATTTGAGAAAATACGCGAGCGACTTGTGGGTGGAGTGTTTGATATCAATAGGTGTAGATACGGATGGCTGAGATGGTGATTGGGCAGGTCGCGAGGGTAGAATATAAGCCGAGTAAAACGTACTAGCGGGCATCGGAAGCGCGGAGGCCTGGGAGCTAGATAGGGTCTTTTTCATTGCCTGAAGAAGGGCGTCATGAAGAATACTCGAAACATCTGTCAGGAGTGAGGGATCAAAGACATAACTAATGTGGTTTAACGCACCTTCTTTCGTCAGTTCTATTTTTGGAGCATGATCATCCAACTGCGTCTGCTCCAGGTGAGAGCTCAGCGCATCAACTAATGGCTCTTTCAACGCATCATTCTCTGTGACATCCTCGTCTTCAGTGGAATACTGATCATTTGTCGTTGAATGGCTCATCTCCCATGGATCCGGCGGGTTTCCCTTGTGGCCCATATCGAATAAATGGTCATTCCAAGCATGCAGGACAAACACCGCCTTTCCCTTTGAGCCAGCCTCAGATAAGACGTCACTATCCACTGCCATATGCCCGACAGCAAGTGGGGAGCCAATATGCGTTGAATGGTGAATATATTCCGTAATACTGACAAGTTGTCCAGCTTGGAGTGATGGTGGATGCTGAACGACTTGCAGGGTCTACTGAGCGAGGACGTATCTGAACTGGCAAGTAGCACGTACCTCCAGGAATCATAAGATCCGCACCACCAATCAGGACTGGAATCACCGCAGATGGTGTAGACAGAAATGGAATGAGATCTGGCTTCTTCCACAGGGTGTATACTATTGTGACTGAGCCACGGATGAGACTCGCAGCAGGCACAACTCACCAGTCGGAATTATGTCCTCGCTGCCTATACCAAGCGTGAACCACAAAGGGTCTCCACCAGGTCCCAAATAAGCCACCTGAGTGCGGCGACATCGTGAAGCATTTTGCGGGTCTCATCGATATGTGATCAGTAACAAAGAGCTGTAACGAGATTCGCTTACACCTGGCTCATCGGTGTATGTGTTGAACTTCACTGACAGCAGACCCTCGGGGACAAGTTCCTCGCCGACATCTGGAACGAGAGCAAAGGTCTGGACGATGTGTTGTTTCAGCTTGCGCCTATCAGAGTTACGCAGGGGTGCTTGTGAGCATGACAATGATTAGGCACAACGTCGGTGAACAATAACAATCGCGCACCCGAAGTCTTTAAATTCCCTAAAGGTTTCTTGAACATGATGTCCTAAGTACTCGATCGTGGATCCTGGTGGTAACCTCGGCAACTTGGACAAGTTGACTTCTAATGGCCTCATGAGGTCACGTGTTTTGACTTCTACTTGGTATTACATTTTTCCCCCAACAGTATCAACTCCACCGTGACAATCCAAGAATGCCTCGTGCAACTTCAGGGCGTTTCTCGCGTACCCACCAGCCGTCAATAAAATCAGCCGCTGCATCATCTTCATCTAAAAACCATAGTGCAAATGAAGGGACTTCAGCCGGCGTCCGTAACCCAATATTCAATACAGAAAGATTCGGACAACATATCTTGAAGAATCCGCAGATTGCTCAAACGTACGCTCACAATTTTCATATAATATAACTCGGGCTGATTCTACGTCAGTATCGTAGACAAGGTTCGGTTCAGCTCATATTTGTGCTGAGTCGATCTCATAGATACTAATCGTGACATATAGGCAAACCTTCGCCCCACGGATAAAGTCCTCGAAGTTGGTCCTGGTACAGGTAACCTTACTGTCAAGATTCTTGAAAAAGCCAAAAATGTCACTGCTGTTGAGATGGACCCACGGATGGCAGCTGAGTTGACGAAGCGAGTTCAGGGGAAGTGCGTGTACCTCTCCGTCTTAATATCATCAACTGACAGGCTACTCCTCGAAAGACCAGAACAACGAAAACTAGACATAATCATCGGAGACTTTGTAAAAACTGATCTCCCATATTTCGATGTATGCATATCCAACACACCCTATCAAATATCATCACCCCTTGTCTTTCGCCTGCTCTCTCATCGACCAATCTTTCGCGTAGCAATCCTCATGTTCCAGAGAGAATTTGCCATGAGGCTTGTCGCTCAGCCCGGAACAGAGCTTTGGTCGCGGCTATCTGCCAATGTACAGCTTTATTCGAAGGTGGACCTGGTGATGCACGTCGGAAAAAACAACTTCCGACCAGCACCACAAGTTGAATCGTCAGTAGTCCGACTGGTGCCTCTTAATCCTCCTCCCCCTATCAAGTTCGAGGAATTTGATGGGCTGGGTAGAATCATCTTTTCGAGGCGAAATAAAACGGTGCATGCCACATTCATGGCAAAAGGCGTCATCGAGATGCTGGAAAAAAACTGGAGAACGTGGTGCTCGACACAAAATAAGGTAGTTTTAGTTTTTGTGTATTATTAACACGGGGACTTGATCACTATAAATCAGATGATCGATGAACACACAAACATGAAAGCTAAAGTAGAAGAAGTCCTCAGCTCATCGGGATACTCGGAACAGCGGGCAGCCAAGATGACCCTGGACGATCTCCTAAAGTGAGTTCTCTTCGTTTTGTCTTCTATGTTTTCTTATCAGCTGAACAGACTACTATCCGCATTTCACGACGAGGGTATACATTTTGCTTGATAGGACTTTCATCTGATGTAGTGAATACACGTCCTGTTGCTACACATGTGCCAATCTATACGGTAATTAATCATTTCACTGTCGCGCAGATACAACATCAACTCCCTCGGATCTCGGAGAACAACAAGGTTATAGTTTCTTCTAATCAAGTGACAGCCTTGCATCGATCAACCACTACGAATGTGCTCGACCACTTTCCACAAAACAACCCAACTCAAATGCTAAAGTTCAATCGCTATCCAGCGCATGGACACACTGCATGCATTCCAGCGTAAAATGGGAAAGACCTCTCAATGGCAACGAACTAGAAGATGCCGGACATGTTTCGTGTACCTCCTCTGTTGGGCGGTCGAGCGATTTGTACTTACTGGTCGATGCGTGAAACCGAGCTTATTTTTTCGGAATCGTGTTCCACGATCGCCAAGCCGCATACAACACAGCTGAAAAAGAAGAACGAAATTCATTCGTTTGTTGTTAAACTGTCACTAATGCTGATATTCGGTGCTTTGTGGCAGAAAACGACTCCGCGACATTCAAAGGCTGAGCTTCAACATGAATGTTCCGGAGCCGATTAGACATGTAATGGGCGCCAGCATATGGGCAACGCACCTGATTGGCAACTGCAATCCTCCTATTTCAACAGCAGCAAACATGGGAGGTGCCTCGTAGCAGCATATGAGAATTACATGCTAATTATGAACTGAGGCTCACGTAATGTGATCATAATACTTGGTGGCAGTGTGCAGCAAGCTATCATCAAGTATATAAAAACGTACAGGAAGCATAGGTTAGTCGTTTCTCCGCATACAGCGACAGTCTTAGTATAATGAACAACCACCACCAAGATGCTCGTTCCCCACGTCTTGTAAGGCAACCCAACCCCAGGGCTCGGGCTCCATTGCTATCCAGGTCGCATCATGCGCATGAATACCTTGCATGAACTCCAGCGTGGAATAAAAGACGTCCTAAACCTAAACGATGGGAACGAACTGAATATCAAAATGGTCGTCATTGATCTACGATTACCTGGTCCCCTACGATGATTTCTCGCGTGCCTCTAGAATAATATACCTCGTGATACACCTTCATACCGGTATCCTACTGTGGCGTTCGTAGAACGTTCACACGGTAGAGTCGATAGTTTGAATAGACTTAGAGGCTCGAACGAGATAACTGTCCGAAACTAAGTGTTTATTCGGGGGTGAAAGATCAACTGCCCTAACAGTAAATATACATCGGTTTATACTGTACAGCTACGCACTTAAGTTCGTCACACCATCACAGGGCGAGCGAACCGAACCTATTTCGTGTGACAGTCACACGCATTTTGAGGTCATCGAACTTAAGTTGTGACATGCGGTAAAAACACGAAAACATGCAGTAAAAACACGAAAAAAGTCCTAGTGCTGCCAAAAGTCCTTATATTGAGTATTTGCAATGTGTCTCTGCGCTCGTACAAAGAAAGAAATACGTCTGCCTAATGAGACTCCCAGCCCAGTCGGTCATCTCACCCAACGAACCTATGCGCAACATGTCACACGTCACACACCCCTTCGAACTTTCGAACCTAATGTTCATTCGGTCACACCCATATCAGGTCGAACTTAGGTGCGTAACTCTACAGTATACTGTAGGGTACGAATGCTATGGAATACGGTAGAACGAACGTAAATGAGTATCTAACTAAGGTGATGAAAGTAAATATTGGTTGCCAACATCAATGAGTAGATGTTGGCTTTTGACGAGCGTTACATACGCCCTCCAGGTCCTCTAGACGGGAGGACCTTTCTTCAGGTGATGCGAGTTCTTTTAGTTCTCGCGCGAAGGTCCAAGGGACGCGAAGGCAGCTGAGAGAAGGACTAAGGTGAGTACATTGACTATCAATATACTAATAAGGATAAGTCTACCGAAAACGTCCTCGGTGGTGACATCCGGCATACGCGAGGCCTGTTCGAGGTCGAGCTGCTCGGCAGCTGCGATGATCTCTTCGACGTCAGGTCCGGGGTCTGTCGCAGGTATGGGATGTGCGGGAACGGGGGCTAGGATGGTAGCGGCGTTGCTGGTGACTTCAGCAATGACCTGAGCAGCGGTATGGGGTCTAGGTCGGTGACTATGGACCGGCCGTTCACGAGGGTAGTAGTCAGGGCGAGAAGAGCGAGACGAGGGACCCAACGCTGAGTTGCGATGGTCTAAGGTGAGGTTACGGCTGCGATGGCTAAGGCGCCTGAGCTCACGAGTACGTTCGGCTCGGAGCTCTTGGTCGAAAGCATGGGACTCCTTTCAAGTGGCTAGCTCTTTGGCCTGGGCCTCGGCCCTGAAGAACCGCGTGAATGCTCCTAGGGCATCAGCGTCCTCATCAAGTCGTTGTGGAGGGGGGTAACGCCCTCCACGGTCCCTTCGTCCCCTTCCGGGACGACCTCTGCCTGCCCGAGTCGACCGGTGACTCGGTGCGTGCTCTCCTGGCTCGCGACGAGCTGGTGGGACATCGACAAGCATCGCGTCGTGCGGAGGAGGAGGGGTGGCTGACATGAGGGGAAGTTCACGATACTGGGGAACTGGGCTTAGTTCGCTCGTTATATACGAGGAGGGAGGCTCGCTTATTCGCGAGGTGCTTGCCAGCGAGTGGACCATTTGGTCGGTAAGTCCGAAGATTAAGTCGCGGGCTTTGGGGAAGGAGTCCGTGCAGTAGACGGGGATATGATCTGATGGGAGTCCTAATTTCTTTGGCAGGTGTGCGATACCTGGGACACCGAGTGCTTCAAGATATTGGGTCAGGGCTTCTAAGCGAGAAACCTGATGGTATGGGAACCACACCTTATCCCCGGTAGCGTATTCTACCTCAAACAGTGCGTCAGGACTGGTTCCTTGGTGGTCCGAGATTTTCGCCACGGACCATTCCTCTAGGTGTCCAATGTCTGAGACGTGATGGAGCTGGCGTCCTGGAAATCATCGATCATCGTTGGGCACATGGGGACGAAGTAGGCTGGCATGGAAGGCAGGATGGAGTCCGCGTTGTCTGAGGTGCGCTGGGAGGTCCAGAAGGAACGAGTTGTTCCTGTAGTCCTCTACTATCCTGTAGGGCCCTATGTATTTGGGGGCGAGTTTACGCGCCCGTCCCTTCGGTAAGGACAGGTTGCCCGTAGACAAATATACTAGGTCCCCTTTAACAAAGGGCGACTCGATGCGCTTGCGGTTAGCGGTGGTGGTGTTTTTGACGCGGGAGGCTATAATGGAGTCGTGAGCACTCATGATCGCACCTTTCATTCGCTGGGCGAAGACACGTACTCCAGGGTACTCGGAGTTCGTGTTCCAAATGAGTGGGGGTGGAAGTCTGCCATAGTTAAGTACAAACGGCGGGTACTTAGTGGTCTCAGAACATGCAGAGTTGATCGCAAATTCTATAGCGGGTAGTTTCAGGGCCCAATCTCGTTGGTTTGGTGACACCATCTGGCGTAACATCTGAGTGATAGTCCTATTGGCACGTTCGGTTGCTCCGTCGGACTGGGGGTGAAATGAGGTTGACATTCTAAGTTCGACACCGGTGAGTTGGTGGAAGCGTTGCCAGAATGTACTAGTGAATAACGTGTCGCGATCACTAACTATATTGGTGGGCATACCGTGGTGCTTGTATACTAGGTTAAACATAACCTCGGCGACATCTTTAGCTCTGTACGTTTGTTTGGTGGCGGCTAAGTGAACCATTGAGGTGAGATGATCAATGGTGACTAAGATCATGTCAAACACACCCAGTAGTGTCTTGGACTCAGGTAGGGGGCCAACGAAGTCTATACCAATTGTTTCCCATGGGCGTGTTGGAACTTCTAGAGTTTCCAGCAGTCCATAGGGTTGGTGGTTAGATGCCTTTGAGACTTGGCACGTCGGACAAGACTCACAAAAGGCTTTGACGTCAGCTATCATGCTTTTCCACCATACACTCTCGCGCAGGTACAGGATCGTTTTCGAGGGGCCTAGGTGAGCGAGGATCGAGTGAGCGTGTGAGATGATGATCTCGCGAGCGCGTCTGAGGCCAATCTTGATGTCTGGAATACACAACACGTGTTTTCCATTAACTCTGAGGAATATACGTCCATTACTCACTTCAAAGTTTTTAAATGTTCCCGGCTTCTCTATGACTTTGGCGAAGAACTGGTCCTCGTGGTAGTGGTTCATAATTGACTCATTAATATTGATAGTCGGGTCACCGAGGTTGATGATTTCAGTCATAGTGGTGTAGGACTCAATGTTCGAGTCAATAGCAGGTGAGTGGGATGGGCGTTGGTGGTCTGGCTGCGCAGCTTGTAGGTCCTTATTTGCGCAGTTGTCATCGCTTACATCAGCATTTGTGACAGTTTGGTCAGGGACTATGTCATTAAGATTCTGGATCTTCGTGACGTCGTTGCTTATGTTATCAGGTTGGTTCTGCGATTTTCCAGACCGTATGACTTCCTTGCTTACGTCATGTTGTAGGCTCTTGTTTACTGGCAAGGTACGTCTTCCTTTGTCCTCATTGTTAATTGTTCTTACGCCTGGCACCTTTCCGCCCTCCAGTGATTCTGAAGGGTGTCCACCCACCTTCAGGATCACTTTCCTGATTTTGGTGGCAGGTGGGTCGGTTGCTGCGCCTTTAGGAGCTAATGTCCCTCCATTTTGTAGCGCCACGCCCTGGTCGGTGATATCCCGGCCTACCGAGTCGTCGGTGGGCAACTGGTCTGCATGCTCGCCGTCCCTGGTGACCCTCAGGTCGAGGGATCTTGTGTCATTCGCCGGTTTAAGCGATCTCATGTCACTCATCGGTTTAAGCGGTCTCTTGTCGTTCCTGGTGAGTGGTCCGATGGTGGGCTCGCCCATATTGATGCCCTTGCCACTTGGTAGCTTCGAAATGACAAGCGAATCCGCCAGACCATGCTGGGGAATGCCTCTGCCCTGTGGGGGTGGGGAGACCTGCTGAGGAACACCTCTGCCTTGGGGGTTTGTCAAAACCTGCTGAGGAACACCTCTGTCTTGAGTGCGCTCCAATACCTGGTGGGCAACGCCACCACTTCCTTCATTTACTCCATCATGGTGGCGGGACCTGTTGCGCTTCCGCTCTGGGTGGTCCTCACCAGGCCCATTTACTAACTTCTCTGCTATGCGTGCTGACTGTCTACTCTCGGTTGCTCCCAGGAATAGTGGGGTGCCGGTGTACACTGGAGCGGTGACGAAGTTGAGGAGAAGAGTTCTAGGTGCATCCTCTTCTTCGATACTGACATACTTGCTCGGCGCCCTAACCGTCCCCTTAGGCTCGTTACTGTACATGCGAGATAGGGCATCGGCTAGGGTGTTGTCCACTCCCGGTAAGTAATTAATTCGAAAATCAAATTCGCTCAGGGCTTCTAACCACCTGGCTTGCCTAGGGGATAATTTATTCTGGGTTGTTATCCATTCCAGTCCTTTATGGTCCGTGAATATACGGAACGGGACACCTATCAGTAAGTGCCGGAAGCGCTTAAGAGACTCGACGATGGCTAACAATTCTTGCTCGTGCACAGGGTAGTTCTGCTGGGCAGAATTGAATTTACCAGACCAAAATGCTATGACGTCAGCGGTTTGGATCGGGTCCCCCTGCGAGAGCACGCCACTTGCTCCGGTGAATGACGCGTCTGTTACCAGGTTAACCAGGGAAGTTCCATTCATCGCCCTTGGTAAGTCTAGTGCTTTTCTCCTAGTGTTCCTGTGTGCGTTGACGCATGCGCGTACCAGGTCGAATGCCCGCTGGTCTGTTGGGGACCAGTCCCACCGAGTGGTCTGCGCGGCAACCTTCGACAGGTGTTGCATATGGACGCGCACGCCATCGCAACCGGCCGCTAAGTATCCCACTGAGCCTATGAATTGCATCAATAGTTCCTTGGACGTGGGCGTCTTCCAATTCGTGATCTTGTCCACTTTATGAGGGTCCAACCGTATTCCACCATCATCAACGACGTGACCAAGGATGGTGAGTTCTTCTTTAAAAAATTGCAGTTTATGAGCACTTAAGTAGAAGTTATTAGCACGAAGTGTATCAATCACAATGCGGACGTGTTTCGCATGGTCGGCGGCAGTATCTGAGTAGACCACGATGTCATCCAGGTAAACATCCATGAATACGCCGATGTATGGCCCGAATATGTGGTTCATAAGTGATTGGTAGGTGGCTCCGGCGTTGCAATCCCCAATTTGCATTACATGACTTATCATCGTGCCGTCTGGTGTCGCGAACAGGGATTTTGGCACGTCTTCTGGGATGATGCGAATCTGTTCGTATGCATCCTTACCATCGAGGAGGGAGCGAAATGGGTGTGACGAGACATTTTGCAAGATCGCGTCGATGTCTGGGAGGGGGGATGCGAGCTTACGAGTGTTCTTGTTTCGCTGTCTAGTGTCAAGCACGGTGCATAACCTGAGTTCACCATCTTTCGTTGCTTTTCTCATCATTATCATCGGTATGGCATTGGTCCCACTAAAGAACTCCCAACGACCAGATCGTATATAGTCATCTCTCTTGGCACGCCATAAGGGACGAAGAGCTTCCGGGCACCTAGATTGTCGCCAAGCGTAGGTGTATCCTTCGTCTATCAGGGGGATTACATGGTTGATGGCTCTCAGGGGTGGCAATGGGGTCTCCACGGCCTCTTTGCAGATGTCCGCGGCGTACTGACGAAGCTCTGCAGTGTACTTCTCTACTTCGTCAGTGGGCAGACTTAGGCCACGAAGTTCCAGTACTTGGGTCTGCGCGCCACGCACGGGTAATGGCTCGATACTTCTGATTTTGATCTCAGGTGGGTTGAAACCCAGTAGCACCTGGTGCTGGAACAAGAATGGCATTCCGAGGATGACATCATAGGATTCGAGATTAGCTATGTCAAAGATGCGCGTGCATTTGATCTCTTGGTACGTCATTTCCGCGCGAGTGGTAGCTTTGACAGTGCTCCGGGAGCCTGACACTGCCAGTTGCAAAGGGATTGGTTTATCTAGTAATTCGTACGGCAATTTGAGCTGGTCTACAATTGTGCTTGAGACGAAATCGGTGAGTGATCCAGAGTCGAGTAGTGCTCGACATGGCTTATCATTTAACAGGATTACGACAACGATTGATTTAGGTAATATACGCGAGGTAGACTTCGGTCTAGCAGCCTGTCGTTGCAAGGAACGTAACTCGGGTAAGTCAACCTTTGAACGAGAGGACATTCCACAGAATAACTCACTCATTTCTTCAGTCTCCTCATCGTCACTGGATTCGCAACTTTCTAGTCCAGGTAGGTCATTCTCTGAGCTCTCACTGTCACTCTCCTTGAAGTCACTACTTCCCCACTCCGAAGTCACCCAAGAGGAGCTATCAGATTCGCTGTGGTCAGTTGCATCGTACTCAGGCCCTGCAGTGGTGTTCCCCATCTTGGAAAGTTCAAGGGACGATCTGGTCTTGACGAGGTTCTCTTCGTTGTAGAGTTTCAATACGGTGAGCCATGTCACAATGTCGAAGGAGGGGTCACTTAACTGGGAATAATAGACAA